GCAAACTGAGAGAGCAAGGAATAGTTTACCTGTCAGATCTATGGAGAACTTAAGAATTTATGACCAAACAGGAGATAGAGAACATTATGAAATGCAAAATGGATCATTTTGATCACATTAAATTGAAAAGGTTTTGCACAAACAAAGCCAATACAACCAAGATTAGGAGGGAAGCAGAAAGCTGGGAAAGAATTTTTACAACCAGTGTCTTTTATAAAGGCCTCAATTCTAAAATATATAGAGAACTAAGTCAAATTTATAAGAATACAAGTCATTCCCCAATTGATAAATGGTCAAAGGATATGAACAGGCAGCTTTCAGATGAAGAAATTAAAGCCATCTATAGTCATGAAAAAATGCTCTAAATCACTATTGATTAGAGAAATGCAAATCAAAACAACTTTAAGGTACCACATCACACCTATCAGATTGGCTAACATGACAAAACAGGAAAATGATAAATGTTGGAGAAGATGTGGGAAAATTAGAGCATTAATACATTGTTGGTGGAGTTGTGAATTGATCCAACTATTTTGGAGAGCAATTTGGAACTATGCCCAGAGGGCTATAAAAATGTGTATACCCTTTGATCTAGCAATATTACTAATAGGGCTGTATCCCAAAGAGATCATAAAAATGGGAAAAGGACCCACATGTACAAAAATATTTATAGCAGTTCTTTCTGTGGTGGCAAAGAATTGGAAATTGAGGGGGATGCCCATCAATTGGGGAATGGCTGAGCAAGTTGTGGTATATGAATGTAATGGAATGCTATTGTGCTATAAGAAATAAGTAGGCAGACTTCAGAAAAACCTGGAAAGGCTTGTATAGACTGATGCTGAGTGAAGTGAGCAGAACCAGGAGCACATTGTACACAGTAATAGCCACGTTGTGCTATGACTAACTTTGATAGACTTAATTCTCCTCAGCAACGCAAGGATCTAAGACATCTCCAAAGGTCTCATTATGGAAAATGCTATCCACATCCAAAGAAGGAACTATGGAGTTCAAGTGCAGATCAAAGCATACTATTTGCTCTTTTTTTTTCTTTTGTTTTCTTTTGTTTCTTCTTTCTTGTGGTTCCTTCTATTGGTTCTAATTCTTCTTTACAACATGACTAATGTGAAAATATGTTTAATAGGAATGTATATGTAGAGCCTATATCAGATTGCATGCTGTCTTGGGGAGGGGGGAGGGAAAGGAGGGGGAAAAATTTAAAACTCAAAGCTTATGGCAGTGAATGTTGAAAACTAAAAATAAACTAATAAAAAAAATTTAAAAAAAGATTTATGCCATGACATTTTAGATAAGAACAACTACAGTGCCTTTCATTTAGTAAAGACTCACTAAATGTTTGTCAAATGAATGCATTTTAATTCTCTTTAAGATATCTATATTCTTAGGATTCTAGAAGGCTTCATGTCAATTAGAAAAGCTGTAGACCTTTTAGTTTTTCTGGGATTAAGGAAAGTTCCCTTCTACCTTGCCTTTTCTTTTTCCGTTTCTTAAAATTAAGATTTTATTGATGTCTTTTGGTTTTTATAACTCAGTGGTTTCCTGTGTACCAACAATGAAAATCAACTGACCCAGTAATTGGACCGATCATGTGACATTCTGTACCCATAAAATCTCCTGCCTCTCTATGGTAAGGAAGGGGCTCCAATGCCCAGCCAGTGCAATGTAGTGAAAAGACCATTGAATCTGGAAGACCTGGTTTTAGGTCTTGTTTCTACCACTTTTGAGCAGAGTGTACTTGATCCAGACACTTCATTATTCTAAGCCTTGACTTTACCATATATAGAATGGGAATAATAATATGGCAGAGCTAGCATGTCATAATAGATAGAGAACCAGCCTTGGAGTCAAGTAAGAAATGAATGAATGAATAAAAAAGCATACATTAAGCACTTACTATGGGCAAAACCCCATGCTAAGTACTAGTGATAGAAATAGAAAAGCAGAGACAGTATCTACTCTTAAACTCATATTCTAATGTGGAAGACAACCTACAGAAAAGATTTTAGCTGCAAATTAGATGGAAAGGTCCCACAGTCCATAGTTTGGAGGAACAAAGCAGAGAGTAATGCATTTGGATTCAAGTCCTCCTTCTGACCTATACTGGCTCTCTGAAACAGGGCCAGTCATTTAACTTCTCAATGTCCCAATCAACTCTCTAAGTTGCAGAACAGGTAGGTCTGGAACTGGATTGGTAAAGATAACTTCCTCACCAGGAATCCATTTCCCTAATGAAATCACAGGTTTGATCTACCTACCACTTTCCTTCCCTTCTCACCCCAACCCTTTCCATATACTATCTACCTCACAGGGTTGTTAGCAGGAACAAAAGAAAAGGTGTACAAAGAGACTTTGTAACCAAAGAAGTATTATGTAAATGTCAACTATTAATAGTCACTACTATAAATTTACCATCCATGTATATGGGGAGGATTTGATTTCTTCCCATGGTGTCTAGCCAAAAATGAATTCTGCAGTGCAGAATTATAAGCAGCTGTATATTTATTATTGCTGCTGTCAGAGGACTGCAGAGTTTGGTCATAAAGAGTATGATGGAGATTTTTTTTAAAAAAAACCAATCGTCTAGACCATCAAAGTACTTTTTTTCCTCCTTGAGAAGCAAGAATTAGTTTAGCCATTTGGTGGGCGAATAGCTTTGAATCTAACATTTTAAATTATAGCCTATAAGTGAAATAACAGAAACTTTTTATTGAGAATATAGGTGATTTTTTTAAAAAATACTGATATGTAGTAAAAGATAAGTTTACACCATTGAAGCAATCAATTAATCGATTGACCTATCAGAAATATTTCTTTTATTTTCAGATAGTACCAACTAGAAAGAAATAGGATAAGATTGAAAGAGTAGAAAATAAATAAAATGAAGGAATATTAATAATGTTACTAAGTTTCTAATGTAGTACTGAGCACGTAGTAGACACAATAAATTCTTGATCAATTGATTATATCGTTTTGATTCATTAGCTTGCCTTAGTTCATTATAGAATTGGTGACAACAAAAGATATGACCACCCCAGTAATTCATGCGCCTTCTTCACCATGCACCAAATCCCTCTCCTCCCCACCCCCTACCACCTAATGGTTTGGAGTTACCAATGACTATCTAGCAAGAGTTTGGATTCCGTATGTCTAATTTATTAGACAGACGCCTGATTCAGATACCATTCCCATAGATTGTGGAAACCACTGATTGTACAGAACTCTCAGAGAACCACTCATGTAGAGATTTCTTAATTTATAGTTTTATTCATTTATTTTACATTTAAAATTTAGTATTCATTGAATGAAAAGAACACTGGATTTGCAATCAGAGAACTTGATTTCATATCACAGCTCTTTTTACTATCTGCATGGCCTTGAACAACTTATTTACCTTTTCTAGGGCTCAGCTTGTTCAAGATTAAGAGGGTTGGACTAGATGGATAAAAATCTGTGATGCTACAATCCTATCTATGTAGCACTATGCTAGGCTTGAGGACTATACAGAGGAAGCGAAGCAACATAGTCTTAGAGTTGGAATAGACTTCGGGGGTCATCTGGCCCAACCCCCACATTTTAAAGATGAGTAAGCTGAGGTCTAGAAAGGTTAAGTAATTTGTCCAAGGTCACACCAGTGGTAAGTGGCAGAGATGTGATTCAGACTCAGTACAAATCCTACACACTTTCCATTAGAGCGGGGGTATGTTAGAGCCAGGTTGAACTGTCTCCTAAAAGCCAACTGTTAAATTTTCAGTGTGGGTATTTATACCTCAGAAACTGGTAATGCTACAAATCGGGGCTTAATTTATTGTTTTCTTGAGTGCCCAGATATGAGATATGGAGAAAATATTAATGCAGGTTAAACTTAAAAATGAGTCATGCGTAACTTTTTTCCTGGAGTACCATTTGTTAAACATTTACTAGCATACGCCTGTGATTCCACCAATTCTAGGTTATCAAGTAGAAAATAAATGAATGTATAACAATAGTCTTGCTGAGCCCAAGAGAGTTGGGGTACTTGTCCTCTCCTACTAACAGATTCTTCACTCTGGGCTCATGAGGATCACAGCAGGATTCAGTCCCAGGGGTGTCTGTCTTCATAGACAGGATTCAGGTTTTTGTACTCTTTGGAAGGGGAGGGAAGGGAACAAACATTTATTAAACACTTACTATGTCTCAGACACTGTGCTAAGTGGTTTATAAATATTATCTCATTTGATCCAAGAGAAAGTCACCTAAAACTAAGATTTAGCTCATGTTATCCCCAGATACTCAAGTACAAGAAATGTACTCAGTGTACAAAGTAGATTAGGTATAGGACAGCTATTTATTTCTTCCACCCAAAAGAAATTCTTAAAATACGAAAGACTCATAAGAATATTTTAACAAAGATTTATAGCGTGATACAGTAGTCCACATAATCTGTTGTAGTCTCCTGGGATGTTAATACTTAAAAATGAAAACATAAAGCACTTACTGGGGATCATGGAATAAACATTTCACCTTCACCGAAGAGCTATCTGAATAACTCCCTCAAAGTCCTTGTCTTTTGTTCAGCTGATCCAGAATTTGTATTCATCATCTCTTCATTGTCATCCTCTGAAAACTGTGTAGTTGTAAAAATCGTCTTCTCTGCTGCCAGTCAACTCCTACTGAAAGACCTAGGAGCTCCTCACCTCTTGAACTCGTGAATGAGGTTGCCTTCAAGGCTAGAAATGTCCATCTCAAGATTGCTATTCAGTCACCTATGCTCTGAATAAGAAGCCCAAGCATAAGAGGCACCCAGGAGCTAAGACCCAGTATCTATCTAGGCAGCATGTGATTGCACCACCATATGGAAGCAGCTGCCATGGTAGCCAATAAGAAGAGGAATCTTTGTCGTCTCCCCGCCCGTCTCTGCCATGGAAAGTGCTAGAAAGTACATGCCAAAGAAAAGATGAAGAGCATGAGAGCAGAAGTTGTCTCTCCCTTTAAAGTTTACTTACTGAGTAGGCAAGCTTTTCTTGGCCCAGTGGCTGATCCTCTTTAATGTGTCCCTCTCCTCTTGCTACTCTCATGGAGTCCAAAGGACTATTGCATCATCCCCCAGCTCTAAGTCTTCCCGTTCTGAAATAGAACACCTGTGACGCAACCAGAAGGAGTCAGAGGAATTCAGTTCAGCCACCTACACATTCTCTTTGGAATATGTTCTGGTCCGAGTACATGGGGAGGGGTTAGGATTAGAGTTTACCCCAATGACAAATGTAATCATAAACTAGAAAATCTCTACCTTCTATGGCTTTAGGGACTTCCAAAGTGCCTTTAAAATCTAGGAGAGCAGGATCAACTGCCCACTTAGCAAATTAGAAATAAAAGATTCTACCAAAACACATGCCAGATGGTAATCAGAGATGCCCAACCATTAGGCCATCTATAGTGATTCCATCTTTGGTTTGTTTTTTTTTTTGGTCACACATTCCTTAAAAACACAGAGTCAAGTTAATGAACAGATACAAACCAATCAATCAATCAATCAACCAGTATTTATTAAGTATCTACTGTATGTAGGCACTGTGTCAAGAATTTATTATTATAAACATTCCTTCATTTAACTTACTTTCTTTTCCATAAGGGAGGGGGAATGGAATAAATATTTGTATAGCACTTACTGTGTGCTAGGCACTTTACAAATATTATATAATTTGATTCTTAGAACAATCCTGTAAGGTAGATGCTATTATTAGCCCTATTTTACAGTTGAGGAAACTGAGGCCAACAGAGGTCAAGTGACTTGCCCAGGGTCACACAACTAGTAAGTGTCTGAGGCTGTATTTGAACTCAAGTCTTCTGGACTCCAGGCCCAGGACTCTACCCACTGCACCATCTAGCTGCCAAAGTCAAACAAGTCAGGTTCCCAGTTCCAATCAAGTGCTCGTTCTACCACAGCCTGTAACTAAGGGAACTGAAGCACTGGACATGTAGTGTTTGCTCTTATGTTCGCTCTCCCAACCCCGACTGTCATTGTCAGTCTAGGGTCCCAAAGCAAGACTGGCCACTCCCTTCAGGATTTTAGGGGACCTTGAAGGGTATTTCTAGCAGTACTATAGCCCATAAACTCTCACCAGTGTGCTTCTTCTGTCCCTCTCAAGAATATCAATTGACTTCAGCTAGTCATAAAAATGAGCTTTTAGAGAAACAGTATTTTACTAAAGTGATATAGTAAGAACAGTTGATACCAATACCCTCCCCCCCAAGTTTGTGCTCCACTTTCCAATAAGTACACGTAGGGTCTAGGAGAAAATGGTCTCAGGCTTAGAGCACATGTGTCAAAGAAGCTAAGTTGGAACCGGTGGGAGTTTTTTTGCTGGAATCCTAAAGATGTTTCCCCTTAGGCATACTGTAGCTTTCTGATGGGCTCTTTGTAGAGTCCCAAAGCTGCCTTTTCTAGTAGTTTTAGTTTGTATTCGACTCCCAATGCAGACGCTGCCGCCAGTCTCTGCTGCTCTAGGGTGTCCACCAGGACTCCTGTGAGAAGTCCAAATCCTCCATCCCATAGAGATTCACAAATTCCTCCTCTGGTCGAGGTCAAGGAGGTGGAGGAGGTCATACTGCTTCTGGCCATCTCCTGCCCCTAGGAAATTCCCTCTCAGGGGTTTGGCTCCAACTGTTCTCTCCTGGCTAGCCTTCGGAATGCTGGTATCTGAGCTAGCTTGCTATTTATAAAAGACCCACAAGACCTGACAGAGGTTACATTAGTTTAATGCCTTCAATTGATTGATTCTACAGGGACATTTTCACCTGATAAAGGTATGGGGCTAGAGCAGGGGAATCCAAACTTCACAGAACACATCCTTTTATTCAAGGGGCTGCACTTGAAGAACTAGAGTGCTACACGTGACCTCGAGGCTGCAAGTTCCTCACCCCTGGGTTAGAGTATCTCATTAAAGTGGGGCCCAGCATGATTGATAGGTAGTTTGAATCAATTGACTCTCCCCACCCTTACACAAACATGAAAAGTTATATGAAAATAATATTAGGCAGTGTGTGATTGCTGACTAGGTGGTACAAATGATAGATTATATAGGAGTTCAGTGGTGGGGACAACTTCTGTGGGCTAGAGTGGCTGGGAAAGACTTTGCAGAAGAGATGAGATGAGCCAGGCATTGCAGAATGTCTGGGCTGGGGACTGGGGGAGATCCATGAGGAGGTTAGATGAGCCAGGGTGTGGGCATCAGATTGAGTAAAGTCCATGCAGTAGACAATGAGCTGAGCAGCCTAGCTTCATTGGAAGATTCCTGTGGGGAAATAGTGGCATATATTACTAGTAAAATTAATTGCAGCCAGACTATGGAGGGAGATCAATACCAAGCTAAGGAATCTGGATGTTATTCTATAATCACTAGGGAACTACTGAAGGTTTTTGAGGAGGAGAGAAAAATGATGCAAGTGCAGTTTTAGAAATATTAGTGGCATGGAGGATGCATTAGTGGCAGTAGAGACGATAATTGGGGAGCCTAGTTAAGAGAACGTTATAGAATACAGGAGTGAGGCACTAAGCATCTCATCTCTAGTCCCTGGCAGTGAACCCAGAGAGGAAGGAATTAGGTATAAAACAGATTATTAAGGAAGAAGCCACAGGATTTTCTGATTGGATGAGGGATCAGGAAGGATCACAGCTCTAGAACTGGAGGAACCTCAAAGGCCTTGTAAGGCCAGTCCCTTAATTTTACAAATAAGTAAATTGAGGCCTTGGGAGGGTGAGTGATTTGCTCATGATCGTACAGATAGTAAGCTTCAGGGGCAGTATCTCTACCTAGGTCCTCTGACTCCAGAGACAGTTAGAGCTAGCCTGAGTATATGAGATAACAAACATTTGCAACATTATGAAAATTCTCTTCTTTTTTGTTGAGCTGGAAGTAACTGGAGACTGGTAATGTTCAAAGCTGGTAACAGATTAGGCCTGGGATCCTTAAAACTATTTCCGTGAAGTTTATGACTAAAAATTGGCTAGCTTATATATTTATGTTTAGAAAAAAAATAGAGTGTTATACAAAGATCATAAACAGCTTTTAGGAATGAGAAGTAATGATAATGCTTAGCAGTGGGCTATTTTTTTTTAAATTCTCTTGAAGCCTTTGAGATGGGTTCATCTACCTCCCCAAAATTATACAAATGAGGAGCACAGAAAATCTTCAGTTATGCTATGTGCAGCCAACCAAGCACTTCTTCTTAAAGCTTTGTTAGTCTATTCAATTTAATTCAATTTAACAAAGCCTTTATTAAGCCCCTACTTTGTGTCAGGTGCTGCGGTAGACATTAAAAGTGTAAACAAAATGAAAAAACAGTCCTCCGCTCAAGGATGAATTCTGTCAAGTGAGATAAGATACCTAAAGCACTTTGAAAACCTTGAAGTGCAATTTAAATATTACTTATAATAACAATTATTATATCATAATAATGATGATAATTATTATTATTATTATTATGCAAGATAGACACAAGTAAATAAATACAAAAGGTAATTTGAGTTGGGAATGGGCCTTAACAACAAAATGAATCAGGAATGACCTCCAATAGAAGATGAAACACTCATTGATCCTTGAAGGAAGTCATGTGTTCTAAGAATCAGATGTGAAATAGGAGGCCATGGCAGCCATCAAGGACAGACTATGAAATGGCATGGAGGCTGTGGATGAACTACCTAGTTCTGGGAATAGCCAGCAGAACAGTTTGACTGTCATGTAGAGTATATGAAGGAATGTTAAATAATCCTGGCAAGGTAGGCTATAGTCAGACTATGAAAGACTTTAATGCCAAGCTAAGGAGTTTATATTTTATATTAGTGACAATAGGGAACCATTGACATTACTAAAAGGGGAGTGAAATGGTATTTTTAGGAAGATTGTTCTGGCAGTTGTATGGAGGACAGAGTAGAGGGGGGTGAAGTCTGGAAGCCAGGATTTCAATTAGAGGGTTGTCACACTACTATGTTAGAGAGGGGATGAAGGCCTGAGTTTAGGTGGCAGTGATCTTAGAAGGGAAAGGGACAAATGAGAGATATTATAGAGGTAAATCAACTAAACTTAATAATTAATTGGACCTGAAGGGTGAAGGGAGGGAAGATTTCTGGATGATTCTACAATTTCAAATCTGGATGCATGGAATTATGGTTGTGCCCTCAATAGGAGGGGTTTGGGATAAAAGATGATGAATCTATTTAATCCCTGATCTCGTGAACAATTTCCTTCTACAAGAATGTCTAAGTCCTTTTACAATGAAGACAAGAAGAATGGATGTTGGATATGCACATGGCATTACTCAGTGTTGATTCTTTTTTTAACCTCTCTTATGCTGCTGGTAACTGCTAATGCTTCACTCTATCCCTAAGTTCTTTATAGTCTCTTGTAAAAATTTGGCAGTTTGACAGCTCTACTTACTCACTGCGAGTAGATAAGTTTTAAAAGTAACCTTTACCCAAGCACTAAACAAAGCTATTCCTTGGACTCTAAGGACTTAAAATGGCAGCTAACATGGCTCATAAATTTACTTATATTGATTGGTTTTTAAATGGACTGAATTTGCTGATCCAAGAAAATGTTGGTTATGATCTTCTCTTACTGTGCTAGGTATGTTCTATAGCCTTACGGGAAATATCCACATATGAAGTTTTTTTGGAAGCTCCACTACAGTGCTACCTCATAGTGATCAACACAGTGAGAAAACTTATAAAAATGTTTTATGGAATATATTTGTACAGCTAGAATACCACTGGAACATGCAGACAGCCCAAGAACACATCTATCCTTTTCAGTCACATGTCTTCCGTATGATGTTCTTCACTCCTTCCCGTACGTTTCCTCTTTGGTATCATGTTACCACCTTACTCATCACATGCCTTTTCATTGTCTTTTGGGTGACTCATAACTTCCATTCTTTGGAGATTATAGTATTCTGTGACATCAACAGAAGAACATTATCGACAAGTATTTTTAAATGCCTACTATGTAGCTCAACACCATGCTAAGCTATGCAGATACAAAGAATGAACCAGTCCCTACTTTCAAAGAGTTGACATTCTTAAAAGATGAGATTTTCAAAAAGAAGCCTGAGA